AGGTGTGGTAGCCCTCCTGAACACGAGGTGTGTGGAAAGGTGGAAGAAGTGAGGCTCCGTGTAGCTCTGCGTAAGCCTCCCATCAAAAAAAGAAGTGCAGTACTCTGCTGGCAGTTGGCTTATAATCAGGGATGCATCTCCATAAAGGGCTGCCTTCCCTGTCTCAAGTCAGATAGCTGGCTCTCCCAATGATCAAAAGAAAAGGAGATGTTGCTTGCCTGCCTGTTCAGTGCTGCTAGTCCTTCCTCTTCTGTAAAGCTGCTAGTCTCCAGGGAAACACTACAGTGCTTGAGTTGTCTGCTGAAGCTATGTAGTGGTGGCTGGTTTGTTTTGCTTGCTAGTGTTAAAGGATTTTGGTGTTGGTTTTCTTTTTTTTTTTTTTTTTTTTTTTCCAAAATATGTTCTAGTATTTTTAAGTGTGCAGTACTTCAACATCAGCAGCAGGGCTCTCCTGAAGGGCTGGCCTGTGCCTGTCAGGAAATGTTGAAGTGATTGGCTTATGGGGAGCAGCCATCTTCTTGTGCACTTCCTTGTGTGAAGCCCTTTCTGCTAGAGGCAGGAAGGATATTTTGGAAGTGAGAATACAACTGTGATAAGATGTAACCCCACAGCCTGCTGTACTAGGGGATATGTGTGCCTGTGGGGGAAAATCTGATATGCTTAGTCACCAGTTGTTTTATCAGCTGATCTTGAAAAGCTTTCATCATATGCTTGGTTGGTGTTACCAAAAATAGAGGTTAGCTGTAGCTGCATGGTGCTTGTAAAGCATCTGTAGGCTGACAGCCTTGACTGCCTTCTTTAAAATCTTCCTCTCTTTTAATTGCAAGTGACCAGTGATGCTTTTGTCCCTTGATGGACACTTGAATCAGCTGCTGGACTTGCTGGGCTTTGGCACGATGCCCATGCAAGCAGCTTTTCTCAGGTGTTGTGGGAGCTAAACACATGGCAGTGTCATGCTGAGGGAAGGTGGCTGTCATGCACCTACTGTGATGGAAGTGCCTTGGCTGATAAAGTGCTGGGATCACGTGCACCATCAGTGGTTTGAGATAAACAGGCTTTGGAATTGATGTTGCTTTTTTAATTAAAAAAAAAAAAAAAAAGTGTAGTGGTTTATTACTCCATGCCTTGAACTGCTTGGCAGCAGATGGAGTGGCACTGCTCATGTGCAAGGATGTTGTGGCTGTACTGAAGAACATCAATATGCTGTGCTTCCCTCGCTGCCGTAGCAGTTGCTGCCACTTCAACCTGGGAATGTCTAAGCTTTGTTTTGCTCTTGCCTTAAGAAGTGGCTCACCCCACCAATGCAGAGCAATGTGATACTTGGGATTACTCTGCCACCTCCAGATGTGGAACAAATCACCAATGTGAGCCATCTCTTTTGAAATGAGATAGCTGCGCTGAGATGAGGTAGCCAGCTTGTTCAGTGCCAAACAGTCTTGCAAAGCTGCTTGCATGGTAGCTGAGCAGAAAATGTAATCCCTCAGTCAAAGGGACAGTTCTGAATATTCTGTAGGAGTAGAGGTCAAGGGAGTCTTCCTAGTGCATAAGCTTTATAAATTTGTGGGTGCCTATGTAGCATTTAGATTGGCTGGAGAGATGCAGTGGGCTAGACTACTTGATAAGCTTTTAAATCTAGCTTTTAGGTCTGGAGACTGCTCTATAGAGTACTGAAGCTGTTTTACCCGAACTTAGAAGGGATACTATAATCACTGTTGAATGCTGAAAAGGAAGAAAGAGCTTGTGAGAAGAACAGCCTTCAGCTGCTGCTTTTTTCTAAACCTGACATTGATGCTTGTTGTCACTCTGTCTGATTTCTAATTCCAGGTGATAAATCTACTTGCTAGCTGAAAGCTCATTAGCTTTGGTTCAAACAGCTTCCTGAGTCAGCCCTCATCTGCTATGGTCTCTTGTGAAGGGACTGTTGCCCAGCTTGGCTTGAACCCATTTTTAAACTGAAGTTTGAGTGACACTGATTTCTCTTTTTTGTTGTTGTTGTTGTTTGGATTTAGTGAATGGTGTTAGTGCTGTAAGACACTGTAGAGAAGCTGTGCTCTCCTGGCATGCTCCAATGCTGGGGAGGGCTGCTCGTGGGCCGAAACAAGGCATGTGTCTGGGGTGCTGTGGATGGTGGATCTCCTTATGGGGCCTGTTTTTTCAGGCTGTGGAAGCGGTGTGCATAAGGGAAGAGCATGGAAGATAAACTAGAACAGCTATACCGTAAGTTAAAGCTAGGCTGGGAACTATTTGACCAATAGTAGTTTAAAAATACTACTTGTGGCCTTTTCCCTTTTTCCATTGTCAATGTGAACATAGAAGTAAGGGGTTGCTCTCCTCACTCTATGCCTGGAAGTGCCTTGTGGGTTCTTTTGCATGTTTGTTTTTAAAAAGGTTTTTGTACACAGCCTTCTAGTGGAAAATGCACTTTATAATTGCAATGTAATAAGTCTTTTAATACCACGGCTCTGTTTTTATCTGATTGTTAAAATAAAGGTGGAACAATGCTGGTTGTGTACCTTCCTATCCTATTTAAATACCCATGAGGGTGGGGAGGTGGCTTGGACTCAGGAGGTGAGCTTCCTGCAAGTAGCACTGGCAGGAGCACGCACTTGCATTGGATTCTGCTGCTGAAAGCAGGGAAGAGTAGCCTATTCACACAGTTCTTCTGCCAGGATAAATGTTTCCAAAGTCTCTGCAGTGCAGGGGAAGAAGGAGAGAAGCGAGGCCCTTGTCTGGGCAGTGGTTTTTCAGGTTTTTCTGCATTTATTTCAGGTTTGCCTCTGTTAGAGCACAGTCCTCCCCCCTGCCTAGCCTGGGATCTCTGCATCACAAAAAACAAGCATCTTGATGAGGTGAGATGGCTTTAAAGCTGCTTCCTGCTGCAGGGGAGTCAGAAATCCACACCACAGGAAACTTCCCTTCTGCAGGAGAGAAGCAATTCTTGTGGAAATACCAGCAAGGCCCAAGTTTCACCCATCTTTCACTAGGTTCAGTGACATGCTGAATTTTATGCAATGGCTGCTGCCTCTGGGTGGTCTTAGCCATTTACCTGTATGGTTGAGAAGGAAAGCTGAGGGAGGGCAGAAAGCACAAAGCAATCACATGCCTGGCAGCAATTAAACCAAGAAGAAACAGGGTGATGGCAAAGGACTTTGCTTTCTCAATAAACATCTGCCACTCCCTTCCCAAATCATCACCTCCATAGCTAAGCACCATTGGAAGTGCTTCATTATTATTATTTTTTTTTAACTACTGTTCTGTTAATCAAGCACAGAACACTCATCTTTTTTTTTTTAAAAGGCCATCTGGTTGCTTTTCTGGTTTCAGGGAAACAACACAGCTCTGAAAAGTATTTTGGTCTGCCTCAGCATGTCTACAAGCAATTCAGGCCAGTACTACTTCCATATTTGAACACAAGTTTATGAGTGAAGTGACCACAGTCAGGCATTTCCTGTAACAGTATTGTGGCTGAAAATCCCATGTGACAGTTTCATTTTGAGAGATAAGGAAGTCCAAGCTGAGCCTGCAGACATTTCAGAAGAGAGGAGACCTGAGAAAGGCCAAGAGACCTCTAGGTTTTGCTCTGGTTGCTCAGGTGTTGCAGGCACTGGGTTTACTGTATTTATAGAGCACTTGGTGGCAGGTGTCAAACAGCCTTTGCTCTGAAGCTCCCCACCACTGTAACCTTAGGGGTATCCTGTGCCACCTCATAGCAGACGTAGTTAAGCAGGGCAGTCACGTTGCTCTTGGCTGAGGTGTTTGACTTGAGTGGCCCTGGGAGGGTCTGGTTTCCTAAGTCTGTTCACCATGCCAGAGCTGTGTCGAGCCTGGTGACAAGCTGAATGAGCTCTATTTGAGACTGCTCAGATGCAGAAGAGGGTCCTCGGGTTTGGGTTCCAGCATACTTAATTTGTGGTCTGCTTAACCAGAAAGTGAGGCTCTGTTGATAACCGAGCACCAGACATCAGTACTGGTTGGATGCCTCAGGGGGCAGGCAGGCGGAGCGCATTGCTTCCCAGCAGCAGTTGCATTTCTTCCATCACTTCCCCTCCTTGAGCTTTCATTTAAGAGGTAGTTGCTTGGTGGCACGTCCCATGCTCAGAGCAGTGGAGGGAAGCATGGTGCTTTCTTTCAGACACGTACCACAGGGCTACCTATTGCTATGTATTGCCTACCTCATGCTCTGCAACAGGGTATTACTCTTTTCCATTCTCTCTCAATGTGAGGCTGCTTCCAGCACAACCATCCCACACCAAGTTGAGTGGTGAGCTTGGGGTTAGTAACCTTAAGCTTGGGAAGGACATTGGTGAGCAGTAAGAGGAGGCTGTGTGGAAGACCCAACTCTCGGCAACACACACAGCTTTGCCATAAAGTTAGCAGCATTGGGGTGGGTTTCAAAGTGCCCAAATTATTCTGTTGTTTCTGCTCTTGCTGGGCCAACTTGGCTGGCTTTAAACTACTGCAATAAAACTTATTTATTCTCCTGTTGCTTTTTGATGGAGGAAAGCTTCAAACCAACTGCTCTGGCCAGCAAAAGTTCTACCCTGCTGCAGCTGGGGATGCTCCCAGCCTGTCCTTATCCTCCCCTTTGGAGCAGTGATGTGCCAGGCTGTTAGCTGTTCTTAAGGACTTATTACTGACTTTTACAAAAAGGAAAAGATTGTCTTTGTTGGAAAATAATTGCAGCTGGCACATCCTTTTGGTGCAGTTAAGTCCGGGTGGTCACCAAGGAGCAGTTAAGTGCTTTGGCTCCAGGAACATGGATGCAGGCAAGTCCCTCTGGCCCATGCATAAGTGACAGGTCTCCCTGCTCTGTAGTCTTTTATCTTTAAAGAAAGTTATGGAGGAGGGAAGGGTCCAACTTCACAGCCCATGAGAAATCTGCTCAAAAGAACATAAGAAAGTGAAACCTTCATGATATATCTATAAATGCCTTCATAACTTATTTCTAATGTGGAGGTCTTCTTAAAACCATAGTAATTAATAATTTTCATGGCAGTTAATGACATGATATGACATTTCCATGACATTTAATGGATCAATCCTGGGCATATTCCAATGCGAAGAGATCTTCCGGTGTCTCCTACTCACAGACAGTTCAAGTTGCACAAGACCTCATCCATGAAGATGCTGATGACCCCAGGGATGGAGATGCCACCAAATCTCTGTGCCTTGTCCCTAGCCGGCACTGTTCTCCTGGGAAAAGTCATGGTTCTCACAAATCAAAGGAGCTTTTAGCAACATTGCAGTCTTATCGTAATACCTGTTTGTTCCAGCCCTCACCAGATTCAGGATATACAGATGTGAAGGGACAAGGCAGATGTCCACACGGCAAAAATATCTCAGGCCTGAAAGTTCTACCACATGTGCAGTTTGGGCCAAGGCAGTCAGCAGCTGTTCACATCCAGTAAGGCATTTGCCATTTCCCAAGACATCGTGCAGCAAAGGGTATAGCCTCATTTACCATATGGTTGCAAGAAATCCCTGCTGTTGAGCTGAAGACAACTGATCTACAAGGTACCTTCCAGTGATACGTGCTGGGGTCAATCTGAACAAACTAGAGGCCAATGTTTACAGCAATCCCCTTGGGCCCCCATTTTGTTCCCAGCCCTTAACATCTAGCAGTAGGGAGCTCATGGAATGCTGTGCTTGTCTTCCATCTTTATGGTCGCTGGCAGAACAAAACTTTTGCATTACCAGCAGGAGTGTAATTCCTCAGTGACACTCAGTGCAGTGACACTCCAGTACTACAGAGACAAGCAGTTTTATAGGAAGAAATATAAAAGCCCTCTCCAGCCCCACTCAGGATTTATGGCTATCCACCTTTCGCACAAATGCTCCCCTGGATACCTGGCAGGTGCTGCTTCTGCATTTTTTCTGCTTGTTGTGATTAACTGGCTTCTGGGTGACCAGCAGAGACACAGTGTGGTTCATCTATGGAGAGCCATCCATCTACTGAGCTGAATTCAACCTTGATAGTGTGGTGAGCCAGGTTTCAGGCAGTGATGGACTGATGGTTGGACCAGAAGATCTTAGTGGTCTTTTCCAGCTGCCATGATTCTATGATTCTGTTTATCTGTAGGTGATGTGGTGACAAAGATGATGTGTGGCACCTCACCCCTTGCTCAGCAGCACACTTGGTCACTGAGGCAAGTGATAGACAAAAGCGAAACAGGTCTCCCTTTGGGGCTGAGGACCATCACAGCCCAGCACTACTTCCTCTGAGAAGCCATCTCCAAGCAGTTCAAATCAAAATAGCAGGCAAACTAAAATCAGTAAATCTATTGAACTTATCTCACCCCCAAGGCAGCCTTTGCGCGAGAACTTCACATCAGAGCCCAAAACAATGATCACTTGAGTGTTTTACAGCCAAGCAGGAAATTTCAGCAGACCCGTACTAACTAAGTTAACACGATTTCTTAGACAACCAATGAATCTACACACAAATCTTTCAGCGCTTCTAAAAGCCCTGCACTAACAGCCTGGTAAACAGTGAGCCACAAAGACAGCAGGGATGCACTTGGTGGGGGTTAGCACCAGGATGACTGAGTGTTTTAGTCATTTTTCTTTTTTAAGTTCTGGTGTTACTGAAAGGAAACACAGTTTTTGTTCAGACAAGCAGTTTTATGAGTGTTATTTCTACTAATAGGTATCTTGTTCTATTCTAACATTGAGAAACTATTTCTTGGTCAGTACACAAAGCTTTTATTGTTAATTTTATGCACCAAACTGGATTTAGTGCTTACCCACTCACCCCACTTCACATGGATACACGACCTGAAAGCCCCTCTGAGACCACTTCGGACCCCCACAACCCAAGGCTGACTTTGGGTCTGGACACTATGAGGTGGCTCCAGCTGGCAACTCAGGGTTACATTAGAGAAGCTGGGAGGGAAAGCAGTGTTATGGCCCTCTGAAGTCAGAGCAGTGTGTGTTAGCAAGGAGAGGAGACCCCTGAGGGCCTTGTCTGAGCCACTGTAATGCTGAAGGATGCATCTGTTTGTCCTGCTGCTGTACTGCTCTCCAGCTGGACATGTCTCATTAGGCACAATGAATCAGGTGGGGTACCCCTGCTCTTGCAGAAATATGAGCCAAAATTTGCAAAACAGGTCTTCTCATAAAGATCGCTTGGCAGACAGGCCTGTGGGTGCGGACTGCAGGTGGCCGAATTCTGACTACATTAACTTATCTCCAAATGACCATATAATCTCTCTTCCAAGCCAAAAAGAAAAAAAAAAAAAAAAAAAAAAAAGGGATGTGGGAAGCCACAGCTCCAAGTAACCTCAGGGAATGATAAAATAGAATCGTAGAATCATTAAGGTTGCAAAAGACCTCTAAGATCATCCAGCCCAGTATCAACCCATCACCACCATGCCCACTAACCATGTCCCTCAATGCCACATCCACTCTTTTCCTGAACAATTCCAGGGACTCCACCACATCCCTGGGCAGCCTGTCCCAGTACACTTCTATCCTCCAAGAATATATGTTTCCTAATACCCAACATGAAACTCCCCTGGTGCAACTTGAGGCCCTTCCTGCTTGTCCTATCACTGTTACCAGGGAGAAGAGGCACCGCCTCACCACAGCCTCCTTTCAGGCAGTTGTCATAAGATCTCCCCTGAAACTCTTCTCCAGACTGAACTATCCCCATTCCCTCAGCTGCTCCCCACCAGACTTGTGCTTCAGACCTTTCACAGCTTCAGTGCCCGTGCTGGACACACTCTAAGGGGAGCTAAATACTCTGTGTAAGATCGTGCTTAACATTAAAGCTATACCATTGCAAATGCATGGTCACACTACAAAAGATGCTGATCCTCTGAGCAACCTTAAACTAGCTCTCAAGCTATGCTTTTTGTGGGGCTGGGAATGGACTGCAGCTCAACCCAGCTGATCTTCTGACTCCTGGGCTTGCCTATCTCAGTGATCCATTTGCCAAAATGGGGACACAAAGATACAGCATACGCAGTTACTCATCTTTTCTTGCATCAGCAATGGCAGGCACTTTACCTGATCCTTCCTAATTATTAAAATGAGGTCTCTACCAGTATCTGGAAAAAGCAAGCCACTGGCAGGACCCTGCAGCTCCACCCTCGGGAGATTTGCATTTCTGACACTCAGTCTGGATGGATAACCTGAAAGCAGAGACTTGCAAGCCAGTTCTGTCTAGCTTATTCTAAGGAATATTCCACCCAGTTCTCACTGCAGCCAAAAAAAAAGAAGAGGCTCTTTTCTTCTGAAATGCACCGGAAGTCATAAGCCAGCTTGTCTGCAATTGCTTTTCAGCTCTCCAGTTTGCATTCGTGCTTGGCTGCTTCTCCCTTTGCAAATTCCAATAGTGGGTTGCCTCTGTTTCCTTAATAAAATGAAGAAGGAAGAAGAATTTAAGCTTTACAGGCATCACTGATCTTCCACTCAAATGAGTTTTGATTTTGAGTTTATCCTGATCTTGCACTTGTGGGAAGAGCAATAGGATCAGATGAGAGATAATGGTCTCAAGTTGTGCCAGGGGAGTTTCAGGTCAGTTATTAGGGAAATTAATATTTTCAGGAGTGGTGATGAATTGGCACAGGCTGCCCAGGAATGTGGTGGAGTCACTGTCTCTGGAGGCGTTCAGGAAACGTGGGGCACTGAGGGTCATGGTTTAGAGGGCAGTATTGGTGGTAAGTGGATAACTGGACTAGATGATCTTACAGTTCTTTTCCAACCTTGGTGATTCTATGAGGATTCTATGATTCTAAGTTTGGGTATGGATGTTACAGATAACAAAGTAAATGCAACTTACTGCATCTTGCACACACTGGGCAATGAGAGCAATTGAACCCAATAGAACCTTAATTGGCAGCTAGATTTTTTAAATGGCAAATGACCCAGCAAGGAGAATAGGTGAACTGTGAGCAAGGAGAATTTCCAGATGCCATACAGACCCGAAGAAAACGATAATAACAAAAAAGACTTGAAAATCTGAGGCCTGGGGAGATTCCCAGAACTCAAAGTTTTCCATTGATGGGAGGGAGTGATCACTTCACAGGCAATTGGCTGTTCAGTGCAGGGCAGTTCTGCTGCTGAGCAAACCAGGCAGTAACTACAGCCCCAGGAGATTAGACCGCTCCAGACTGGTGCAGTTACTGAATTGCGGGGATGAATAATCATCCAAGCAGCTTTCTCCAGGCAGTGCAGAGAAGAAATGTCACCAGCCATGCGAAAATTGAGTCCAGATGCTTCCAGGATGTCTTTTGAGAGGTGTGTGCTTGCACAGCAGGAGTGAGCTCCAAGCTGGTTCCCAGATCAGACTCCAGCACAGAAGTTCCCCTCTGGTCCTAGGGATGCTCCAAACTCTCTGGCATTTTTCAGCCCTTTTTATCTTTCTCTCTGTGCTATTAACAGAATGACGTGATTGTTCCAGAGCCTCCCCAGTGTTTTGGCTTGGTTGTGCCATCATGAACAGCTCACTACAGCTCGCAAACCTCCTGAGGGCATGCACCAAGGCTGGGAAACTCAGAGAAGGCAAAGCGAGACCTCATCAAGAAAGATTGCTAGTTATTACTAAGCTGTTATTGCCACTGCGAGAAACCCTGGAGCTGCAGAACTGCTTGCCTCATATATGTTCATTAGCAGCATGGATAAGAGCAGCATTGATTGAAGACTATAATTAGATCTCAAAGACCTTTCTGGACTGGCTGACTCAGGGACTGTGCTACTTCGAAAGTGCTTCCAATGTCTCTTTGCATTTTTTTTTTTTTCTTTTTTTCTTTTTGTTTTTTTCTGAATGGTTGGGATGGCATTTCCCTATTCAGCAGTTTTGGGGCAGTTTCAGTTATGTATCCCATTGTAGTTTGCAGAGCTCTCCCCAGCTTGGTGCTGCACATACAGAGTGGCCCACATTGCAGAGTGAAAAAAGCTCCGCTGTTGGACTGCCCTTGGTCTCCTGGGCTGTGGGCTTGGCCAGGCTGTAGTTCTCTTAGGGCTGCATTGCTAACCTGTCAGGCAGCCCTTTCTGCTTTAGTTAAGATGCCAAGAAGTACTTTTGTGGGCATCTTCCTCTGCTGATGACTGATTTTCTTGGAATCTCTTTCTTAGCCTATTCTGATCAGCCAGCTTGGAGCACTTCCCGAGTGTTAAGCATGTACTTCTGTCATGGCATCCTATGTGGAAATTATTACTTCTTGCTTGCAGTGCTGGAAAACAACCTCAGCATCAATAGTAAGAAAGCAGGAGTGGAAGAGTCAGCAGAAAGACCCACAGCACAAACACCCAGTGTTCACCTGTAAGCACCACATGTGGCAAGGAGCACCCAAGGGCTTCCGTGCATTTGGCCTCCAGCATGTTGGAGGCACATGGTGGGCACAGGCCTTCTAGGCTGCAATGTGCTCACCTTTCTTTGCTACACCCACAGAGCCCTCCTGCCCCTTCTACTGCTCACATAACAGCTGGGACGAGATGCCAGCACATTGGGAATTAAGCCAAAGGCAAACACAACCACTGAAGCTTGGTTGGCCCATGTGCTGCAGGAGGGTATCTGAGGAAGGACGTTTGTGCCTCTGGTTTTGAAAATGAGACCAAACCCACTGAGGTTAACACATATTTTTGAGTGGGATTTTCTTTGAGATCAGAATTTCACTCCAGACACCAGATTTTGGTGATGAGCTGTTTTTCAACTCCCTGCACTCTCATCAGACTCACTGATCCCATGCTGATGTGTAACTGAACTAGATATATTGAGTACCTTCCTCTTTCCAGCAATGTCAGGCAGTGATACAAACTCTAACCCACACAGTGCAACTTGATCATACTATTTTCTGCAGTGTTTACGTGCATGCTACCTTTGCTTTTTGGACTTCAAAGTAATGTGAAGTTTGAGAGGCAAATTCACCTTTAATCCACAGTATCCTCTTCCCTTTCCCTTCCCTAATGCTAGATTGCTTTTTCGTTGCTTAAAGTTCTGCTGCTTTAAGTTAAAGAAGTGTAAAGTTAAAGCTTTGCAATGATAAATGACTTTGTGAAAGTGCCTGCACTTACATAGTGGTGAGGCCCTGGCAAGGGGCTGCCCAAAGCAGCTGTGGGTGCCCCATCCCTGAAGGGGCTCAAGGCCAGGCTGGATGGGGCCCTGGGCAGCCTGAGCTGGTGAGGACAACCAGCCCACAGCACAGGGTTGGAATTGGATGGGATTTAAGGTTCCCCCCCAAACTAAGCCATTCTATGGTTCCATGATATATGACTTGCCTGTATGAGATCCCAGCCAAATCTTCTGAAGTCAGTGGCTCCTCTAAACCAAAAAAGCAAATCTGGCAGAAGGAGCAGGTGATTTTCTAATTACCTATCAGCTGTGCATGTGCAAACCACAATATCTGAAGATGCAGCCAAAAGCTATCATTGGCAGAAGGTGACCTGACTGGAGTTGAGAAACTTGATTATAAGGGGTGAAAAAGAAATGACAAGCTTGAACTTCAGAGCCTAGCACAGGTTCTGACCCCACTCACACTGATTAGCAGCCAAAAATTTGAGTACGAGATCTTCATATGCACGTAGAGCAGGAAGTTTTCTGAACTATACAGCACAAATCTGGTCTCCCACTGAAATTCGTTTATATGTAGTTGATATTTAATCCACAAATCCTATCTCCTCTATGGGTGTTACAAGCTATCTACAGGAGCCTGTCATAAACTGTGCCTGGCAATGCTAGCAAAAAATTCAAGCACTAAAGTGCCCAAGCACGAAAAGAACATTTCCAGCCAGCCTGGGTTATAGACAAGGCCTCTCTCTCCAGGCAGCTGTGAGTTTTCAGCAAATCTGTCTGAAAGGAAGAAGCTACAGCCATTTCTGGCCCTTGGCATTTGATGAGGCACTGAACAGTTTGCACAGGAGTCAAAGTCCATTCGTTCAGCAATGGAGAGCCAGCAGCACCTGACTTTGTAATGTAACCTGATATCACTATTTAATGCACATGCTGTGAATTATTAACAGCATTCCACCCAACGCCTTGTCATTGGGAGGCTGGAAATATACCTGCTTTCAAGGCCTTCATCTGACCTAGATTCCACCCACCCCCCTTCTGACCCTTATTTAAATCGACATGCATAGCACAGAGATTTTTGCCCTTCCGTGAAAAGATGAGCAGAGAAATGATGATCACTGCTACCTGTCTTTTGGAAGGGAGCAAACCAGAGGGAGGCAGAAAGGGGATGTGCAAGTGTTTTCTGTTCCTTTGGTGCAGTCTGGCACTGAGAAAGCATGTACCAGAAAAGAAACTAGATGCTGAAAGTAGACTAAGACAGGGATGTATCTGTGAGGTTGAGAAAAACAAGTCATCTCCCAGACGGATGGAAACTCTGGTCAACCTGATGTAGCAGTAGGTATCTCTGTTCATTGCAGGGGATTTGGACCAGATGACCTTTAAGGGTCCCTTCCAACTGAAACAATTCTGCAACTCCTCCGCCACTCTCAAAGGCTCTCATCTCTCACTTGCCCTACTCTCCCCTGGCAATCCCTCTGAAAGGCGACTGCACTTTGATAGGTGCCCCATTGCCTTCCCAGCCTCCTCTTCCCTGCTTACTTGCCCTCTGGAAGCCCATTGCAAGTAGAGGAGCCCATGATGTCCCCCTCTTCTCTCAGGGGCTGATCCATACCTCTGGTTATTCCTGTGAGGTCTCACAGGTAAGCGGATGTTCCTGCAGGCTGAGCTGTGCTGTGACGTGAGACACGTGACAAGCGTGCTGCTCAATAGCCTGGCTTCTTGCCTGATCACTGGCTTGAAGAAGAAGGAAAAAAAACCTGTTTGTGAGTACTGTGGAGAGATGAGAAGATGGGGCTATTAATAACAGGTGAGATATAATCTACGGACCACACCAGGGCTGTGTCACAGGGCCTCCTGGTGAGGCCAGTGGTGTGTGCAATCGAATGGGCCTTAGTGGGAGGCACGTGAAACCCTCCCTCCTGCAGACCTGCAATACAGCTTCACACTGAATATCGTGGTGCTTTGTGTTGTTCTTGGGAAACATCTCTGGACCTCCAGGAGTATTTCTAACCAATGATATTCTCCTGCCCTGCGTCCACTCCTGTCACTGCAGAGGATGCCGTGATGGCATTGTCATTAATCCTCACTCAGCTGAGCTGCCTTACCCAGACACAGACTAGAGGAGCCTTTAGCTCTCTCTGGGCAATTGCTACCCCAAACACCTCAATGGCAGCTCTCACCTTGCAGTGATGAGAGTGGCACAGGAGTGCATGGAGGCTCCAGGGCCAGCAAAAGCAAGCTGCAAGCTTGTGCTCATCTCTGTGTGAATCATGGCCCTGGGGAACGCAAGGTGTTACAATGGCAAGATGCCTGCCCATGATCTGCAGTGCCATGGAAGTCCCTCCATCCTCAGAACTGCCAGTTTAGATGCCTCGTTCCCTGAATATTTTGCTGTACCTCAACATTTTCCCTTGCTTTTTTTTTTTTCTCTTTTTTTTTCTTTCTTTCTGGCTGTCTTCCCAATTTTTGCAAGGTAACTTGGGTTATAATTTCATACCAGGTTTGTGGAATGTTGTTGCATGGGCTCACTTGCTGCTGAGATGTGTGGTCTAACTTCCCCACTTTGTACAGCACTCATTTGCACACACAGACCACAGCCCCCTTTGTAAGAGATCCAGCCTGCACTCCAACACCTCACTGACCCCCAGTGAGACCATACCCAGCACAAACTGTTCATCCCTTGGAGCCTGTGTGTCTCCCTTTCCTGCCAGCACCATGCAGAGACAAGCTTGTTTCTTCCCAACAGTATTTTCTCTTCTGTAAACCACAACTGGCTCCTACAGCAGCAAAAGCAGCTCTCAATTTCACTATGTTACTAGGAAATGAAATTATGTTATTGTATTTGCCAAAAAAGCCTTCCCAGGTTTCAGTGCAACCAGGAATGGGAGGAAGATGCCGCTCAAGTTTCATCTCCTCATGGAAATGCTTGGCATACAGTTAAAGGGCAGAGCATGGCACAGTTAAATGAAGCCAGGCTGCCTTCAGGACCAAATGCATCTGCCTGCTGAGCCTACTGGGCCTCATGGAGGCTGATGTCCCTGCAGATTGCTCTTGAAGCCATCCTCTTTCTTTTCCAGGAGGTAACCTCCAGTGAAAGCCTATCTGCCAGGTGGGTTCCCAGCATTATTTGCTCCATGTAGGAGGATGTGAGGCAGGATGCACATTTGTCATCCATAGAGCAAACAACACTGCCAGCACATTCCCTGGAGGAACAGTGGAAAAAAAAACAACTGTATTATGCCCTGATCAGAAGCCAGACAACAGCTCCCAGTCAGATCTACTGTCATAAGACTGCAAAATAACCTTGTGGCTGAGCCCCATTCCTTCGAAATTAATTTAGTAAAGCACATGCAACTCCAGTCAGAAGGCCTATGGGAAACACCCCTAAAGACAGGCATAATGTTCTGTCAAAATTGCTTCTATGGTATGTTAAGAACACCTTCCTTGAATGACCATGAATGGACAATCACTGCTGTGACATTTTGTAATGCAGCTATTTCCCCAAATGTCTGGACTCTGCAGACAGACACCTGCACCCCAGCTCTCAGGGCAGCCTTAATATTCTGTCTCCAAGGAGCTGGCTTTGAGCTGCAATATAGCTCTCAATCAAGGGGTACTGGGTAGTTTCTTCCTTCAGCTCCACAATGTAGCCCAGTGCCAACACGTGAAACCCAAACACTTGACTGAGATCTTGTGTTTGCTCTTGAGGGAGGCTTTTAACTGAAAAGAAGGCTTGGTAGCGAAAAGAAAAAAAAAGAAAAAAAAGTCTATAGGAACTGCACCAAAGTCAGAGTCTTTCTTGACTCACAGCACTGGCAGAGACTCCAAACTAGATTTCAGAGTTGGACCCAGGCCCTGGAGACCTTAAAGTCTCAGTGAGATTTGTCTGGAAAGGCTCTCTGCTGGGCTGTGAGCCTGCTCATTGCTAAGCAGGGCAGGGTTATTACTGCTTAGTGGCTCTAAATATTTTCTCTGTTTAGAGCAGTCATATTTTCTCCATCTGTCACAAGAGCCTTTCCTCTGCTATTAACCCTTACACTAGACACAGATGAGAATTCATAGGATATCTGTCCTCCTGCTTGTGAATCCCTCTTTTATTTGGTTTCTCCCAGGAGGAATCAGAATCATAAAGGTTGGAAAAGACCTCTAAGATCATCTTGTCCAACCATCCAGCTACCACCAATACTGCCCACTGAAAACTAGAGAGAAGACAGCCCATCTTCTTTCTCCATTGCATGAGCTTGCAACATAAAGCCCTTCCTCTGAGATAACTCTAAACAGAACCTGCAGGCCCTGAAGAGAAGTCAGGGACAGTGGCAGCCCTCCTAACTCCTGGCAGCACACATCTTACAGCAAAGGGATGGCCAATACTCCTACACACAGCAGTGAAAAGAGGTGGCAAACTGGCTACCCACTGAGGATAGCAGGCAAGCCCTTTGAGCTAGCCCAGGGAACATCAGAGGTTTTGGGGATGAAAGATGTAAGCAGATTAAGGCGTAAGGAAAGGGAAACAGGCAACAGTCTTTTGTGGGAATGGCTTTGGTGGCAGAATGCCAACAGAATGATAAAGAAATAGGAAGCAGAGAAGAGGGAAGTTTGCATGCCTGCTCAAGGCTACCAGAGGGTAGCCTGAAAGGGAAAGATCAGTTCTACAAAGTTCTAAGACCCAGCACCTCTTCTCTGCATCTGCTCTTGCAGTTAGATATGCATGCAGGCCAGGGAAACTAGAATCCAACCCAGTCCATGTCAATGGACCCAAACATTAATGCAGAAGAATGCTGGGAAGCAAAGGCATGTACAAGATGTTAAGGCCACAGTGGACATTTTGTGAAGTCATCTGATAGACCCGCACTGGAGCCAGAATCTCACCATCTTCCATATAGGGAATCAAACCTTGAGTGACTCCTTTTCCCTCCCTATGCCTTCATTCCTAAATCCTGTTTAAAAATAGGATGTTTCTGAGTTCAGCCTGCCCTACTGAAAACCATAGGAACCGTTGCTATCCAAAACAGTGTTGACATCAGCTGTGTACACTGAAAGACTGCAAAACTGGAGTGCAGAGACTCAGTGACCTCAGGAGAGGTAAAAATGGCTGCGGAATTAATCCTTCACCATTCAAAGGTTTTACTTCCTCGGCTGGTGCTGGCAAAGAAAAAAAAACCACTTTTTAATTAATCAGCCCCCAGAGTCACTAAGTATACTGGGAGCTTGTTACTGAAGTTCTGGCATCTTTGATTTTTCTAATTTTATTTTTTTGTTATAGGAGCATACTGCATTTCATTCTGAAAACATCATCACCATGCAAAAGGGCAAAAGACAGCAGTGTTTGATTGTATCCCTGTATATTTGGCTTACGTGCACTTCAGGAGAAAGAGAAGTATGCAAACATGGGCACAAAGCCAGCACTTGCAAAATTCATGAGAAAAATGACAGTGTCTGCGTCTAAAAAAGCAGTGGCTCAGATGCATTTGCAATTACATGGCCAACAAACAGATGATAGAAGCAGTCAGGATGGCCACTTGCACATAACCATCTTTCTGTTCTCTGGAGGCATGGGGACATCAGGTCTGGACAGTTTCTCTGCCTCTGATGCTGTAAGAGCAGATCAGGACAGATGAATAAGTTATCTGAAATCTACCTGTCAGACAGATCCACCTGATGGTGGATCCTATGAAGGATAGAAGTCTGCAGGAAGGAAGAACTTGGTTTAGTAGGCTTTCAAACTTCTCCTATGAAAAAATATAGGCTAAGAATGCCAGTGGAGGGAGACCTTCTCTTAGGACTTCACCTGATTTGGTGTAGGCCATTGGTGGTGGGAGTCTGTGACAGAATGGGTGCTCTCACTCTCAACTCTTGATGAATCAAGCAGAGCAGCTTCGCTGCCTTCCTGCTCAAAGACCTCTTCTATGTTCATAGAATCATAGAATCATAAAGGTTGGAAAAGACCTCTAAGATCATCCCGTCCAACTCAACCCATCCCCACCATGCCCACTGACCAAGTCCCACAGTGCCACATCCACACTGTTCCTGAACACCTCCAGGGACAGTGACTGCACCACCTCCCTGGGCAGCCTGTGCCACTGCATCACCACTCTTTCTGAGAAGAAATGTTTCTTAACACCCAACGTGAACCTCCTCTGTTCAGTTGAGACCATTATCTCTCATCATGTTGAGAGGGAGAGTGAGAAGAACACAGACTACTGAGTCGGTTCTGAGAAGGCCATGTTAAACAGAATGCACAACAAGAGCAACTGATCAGGAACTGGGAGGCCTAACTAAAATGAGAAATACTTTCCTCACTCCTTAAAAACATACACATCCCTAAAGCCTTGCATTATGTGGCAACAGAAATAAATGAAATTATGTCTGGTTTAAGCTTTCTCTTCAACAACAGACAACAACTTAAAAGCCCTTTGAGTTAGACCAGAGGACCTCAAAGAGTTTTCTCAACAACTCAAAATTTCCCTCTTGGATGCTATTTTTTGCTGAGAGCAACCCTTAAACTAGATGTGTTTCCAGCAGGGAAGTAGAAACTATTGTAGCTGGCTTCAACAGTGGACACTGTGAAAATGCCAGTAATGGTCTAAGTATTGGAAGCTATTTTCCAGATGTAACAACGTGCAGACGCAGAGGTATCCATATTTCCATTATCCATATCCCCCCCGCTAGCTGTACTT